CCTATCAGCAGATACCACAAGTATTACAGAAACATAAGGAAACTGGATCAGTACCTGCGCCAAGTGCCAGATGAACAAGGCTGTGATGGATATGTGGAGTCAGCGGGCCGCCAACAGCAACAGTCTGATTGAACATGCTAAGATAAAATCATCATACCAGACTGGGCTATAAAGGCAGGAAAACTATGGAAACTGGTCACAGATATATAACAAAACTCAGCCGTCACCAATCTTATATTAAGGTAATCATTGACAAGTAAAGTCAGCGCCTGATTAACCGAAGTGTAGTGTAAACGTTGGTCTGCGTATAACTGGCACCACTAGCCAAGTCGATCAGGCCAGCAACCAGGAGACAGTGCCACAGGACAGGGGTGACTCCTACAGCTGTTTACAGGTAACCTAGAAGGTAACCTTGGCAAGCTCAAAAGCTTCTTTCGCTTCCCCTTCCCCAGGAGTGAGCAGTCTACAGTCTAAATACCACCTCTGTAAATAACTAGCTTGGTGAGTGTAGGTGTGTACTACATCAGTTTGTGAGAGTACTGCACTTGTAGTTGTGTGTTGCACTGTACACACATTCACACTTGTGAACGTGTAGTGCTGCACTTGTGGATGTGTGTGTAGTGCTGCACTTGTAGATGTGTATAATGCTGCACTTGTGGATGTGTATAGTGCTGCACTTGTGGATGTGTATAGTGCTGCACTTGTGGATGTGTATAGTGCTGCACTTGTGGATGTGTATAGTGCTGCACTTGTGGATGTGTATAGTGCTGCACTTGTGGATGTGTATAGTGCTGCACTTGTGGATGTGTGTAGTGCTGCACTTGGGATGTATGTGTGAAGTATTACACTTTTGGGTGTGTGTAGTAATAGAGGCAGTGGTTGGCACAAGGTAGCAGTCCCGCCCTTCCCCAGGTGTTATTGTGGCCCAGGTAACGGCTTACACCAACCTCAGTGACCCACTAATAAGATGTAGTGGTGTAGCTGTAGTGGTGCTACTGTTGCTATCATGATGGTGCTTTTGACCTGGTAGTTTTGCTGTTGCTCTGGTGGTGGTGGTGCTGTTACTCTAGTGGTGGAGGTGCTGTTGTTCTAATGGTGGTGGAGGTGCTGTTGCTCATAATGGTGGTGGTGGTGCTGTTGCTCATAATGGTGGTGGTGGTGCTGTTGCTCTAGTGGTGGTGGAGATGCTGTTGCTCTGGTGGTGGTGCTGTTGCTCTAGTGGTGGTGGTGTAGGTGTTGTTGCTCTATTGATGGTGGAGGCGCTGTTGCTCTGGTGGTGGTAGTGCTGCTGCTGCTGTTCTGGTGGTGGTAGTGCTGCTGCTGTTGCTCTGGTGGTGGTGGTGGTGCTGCTGCTGCTGTTCTGGTGGTGGTGGTGCTGCTGCTGCTGCTTTGGTTGTGGTGGCGGCATTTCTGTGGCAATTTTGATGCTGTAGTGACTGTTGCTGTGGTTGGATGATGATGGTGGTGGGGGTTGTACTGTAGCTGTGGCATTGGTGCTTCTACTGTGGTGGTAGTGTTTCTGTGGCAGTGGTGCTTGGGATGTAGTGATGGTTGTGCTATGGTGATGGTGCTAGTACTCTGGTGACGGTTGTGCTACGGTGATGGTGCTTGTACTATGGTGATGGTTGTGATGTGGTGATGGTACTTGTATTGTGGCGATGGTTGTGCTACGATGATGGTGCGTGCATCGTGGTGACGGTTGTGCTACAGCGATGGTGCCTGTACTGTGGAAACAGTTGTGATACAGTGGTGGTGCCTGTACTGTGGTGATATTGCTTGTTCTATGACAGTTATGATACGGTGATGGTGCTTGTACTGTGGTGATGGTTGTGCTACGGTGATGGTGCTTGTTCTATGATGGTTGTGGTGATGGTGCTAGTATTATGGTGACAGTTGTGCTATGGTGATGGTGCTTGTACTATGGTGATGGTTGTGCTATGGTGATGGTGCTTGTATTGTGGTGATGGTTGTGCTACGGTGATGGTGCTTGTATTGTGGTGACAGTTGTGATAGTGATGGTGCCTGTACTGTGGCGACGGTTGTGATACAGTGACGATGCTTGTACTGTGGTGATGGTTGTGCTACAGTGATGGTGCCTGTACTGTGGTGACAGTTGTGATATGGTGATGGTGCTTGTACTGTGGTGATGGTTGTGCTATGGTGATATTGCTTGTACTGTGGTGATGGTTATGCTATGGTGATGGTGCTTGTAGTACTGTGGTTATGGTGGTTGTGGTGTTGTGGCACTGGTGCTGGAACTTTGGTGATGGTGGTTGGGCTGTGGTTATGGTGATGGTGCTGGTACTGTAACTTTGGTGATGGTGGTTGGACTGTGGTGATGGATTTGGTTCTAGTACTGTGGTGGTACTATGTGGTTGTAGGGGTGCAATTGCTATGGTAGTGCCAGTACCGTGGGGTGGTGTTGTGATAATGGTGTTTTTCCTCAGTCACCAAGTTACATAGTCACTGAAACACAGTCGTGCTATTTTCTTCACCGGGGGAAAAATGGGTTAACGTGGGTGTTAGTGGTAGTGAGACTGGTTCAGTGATTAAACCACTGGTATGCGAGTACCCGAGCCTAGGTATCCACCTTGTTGAGACAAAAAAAGGGGGAGGGGGCTCACATTCCACCTCTTCATTAATTTTTTTTTATAATATGCAATATATTTTGTGTATAACTTAAAATTTTATTTGATTCTTTAATAAGTTTATTTTTACAGTACATGTAATATTGAGAAGACAAGAATCTTAGGAGTTTGTCATAAGATATCTTTACTGCATTGATTCTACTCTCCATGTTTGTAAAATGTGTTACTTATTAAATGGTTAATGTGCTTTAATCTGGATTACCGGTTATTAACCAACAGATGGTGACTTGGAATTTATTAATAATTTTTGTGATAATTTGGATTGTGATGAATGGTTTGAAAAACCGACAAGTTGAAGATTGAGACACTTATGCAGCATATGGAAATCTTTATTCAGGAAACGTTTCGCCACACAGTGGCTTCATCAGTCCAATACAAAGAGGAAGGCGTAAGGAGAGGAGGAGAATGAGGTTGAGGGAATGAGGGACTGATTACCTCATTCTCCTCCTCTCCTTACGCCTTCCTCTTTGTATTGGACTGATGAAGCCACTGTGTGGCGAAACGTTTCCTGAATAAAGATTTCCATATGCTGCATAAGTGTCTCAATCTTCATAATTTGGATTAATGGGTGTTTTTAACTAAGAGGCTGCTGATGATTGGCAACATGGACAGTCTCTGACATTTGAGTTACAGGCTTATTCTTTGGCACCCAAGTATTTAGTATAGCTTTGATTCACCATGGTTATGTTTCAAGAGTTTCCCTACGCCCACAGCTCGACCCTGGGCCTAGCTTGGCTGGTGCTTGCTTCGTGTAACATCGTATACTGTACTATATACAGTAAATGTTTACTAATAATGCCTTCTAGTGAGTGTAATTTTATTATCATTTGTTTGTGGTTAATAGCTCAAGAGACCTGTCAAGACATTACCCAGTACAATATATTAAATATTATACTCCTGTAATTGTCAGGCATGATTTATTCGTTTATATTTAAGAGATCTCCCACTCTACCAACACCCCAAGTCATGCACATTCACTTATGAATGGGACATGCTGGCAGCAATTACTTTTGTATAGCAAACTGTCAGCACTATGAACTTATGAAACGTCACACTTTGTAATTATTTTCTTTACAATCAAATTGGTGCAGAAACATCAGGACTGCAACTCACTTGTAAGCTTTGTATACTGTACACACATTTTGAATATGGTCAAGTTTCTTACCACCTTACTTGTGAGTTAGGTTGCGATGATTGTTGGCTAAATTACCGAATTTGTGCATTTATAGGATAGTTTCGATAGAATCTACAGTTTCATGTGATAGATTGGATGGCATACTAGCGAAATAGCCAGGATTTAGGTCAATTTGAGCAGTGTAATTTTCTTTAAATAGGCCTCAAAGTGGGTGAAATTACTGATGTGTAAATTGCACCCAGATAGCCGATTTTGCAGCTGTGTAATTCTATAAGTCTGATGTCAGATTTCCCATTTAAGGTGTTATTACCTTAAGAAAGATGTTTTCAACCATTTTGGAAAATAAAATATTTTTTTTGTTTTTTTTGAAATATCATTGACATTGAATGGGATAAAATGGTATCCTTTTTTCAGTGCGTCATAACCCGTTTGCACTCCAGTTCTCACGTGGCTTATATCAAAGATGTATAAGAACAATAAGGTAGGTCAATGCATTCATCAGATTGTTTCACAGATCAGCACTGCTGTAATGAACCTTATAGTTCGTGTAATATTAAAGCATACTGTATGGACCCTAGCCAGGCTGTGAGGGTAGAAGAACCCTCATGACTCGTTACTGGTGCTGTGTCAAAACACTACCTACAAACAGTATTTTAGTAATATTAAAATAAATATAGCACTGTCCAGTAAGTCCTCACTTAACAACTGTAAGCAACTTTAAGCAAAGTGGCATACATATAATGAAACCCATCGCCAAGTCTCTTTAAAACTTCTAGTTTTGTCACACTTTTTTTTTTTTTTTTCCCTCGGAAATCAGGGGTGCACAGTGCACTAGGGTTAAATCAAGGAATAAGGGTTTGTGAAGCTAAAATTGTAAGGAACACTTCCTACCACCACACAGGTCAAAAACAAACAATAACAAATATGGTGGGATCACTGAGCACTTTCGTACTTTGTTTACCATGCATTTCTATAATCGTCTTGTACTTTATGAATTTTTATTTTACTGTCTCCACACAGACAGCCCTGGCCAGGAATCGATTTTTTTCCTCATCAGTGTTAAACGAAATTAAGTTATTAGAGGACCTGCTGTACAGTAATGATTAATAATGGCAGTTTTAAATAATTTTATTAACAGGAATTGTAAGGATAGTAATTTTAAATTAGTGAAATAATAAATTATATAGTAATAGTAAAGAATAACATTTGTATTGCAGGCCAAACAGAGGGCGTCGGTGGCATGGATCGTTCAGAAAGCTCACAAGAACAAGGTGCCTTCAGACCTCCACGACCCTTATTACCGTGACTATGAGGTGAGTTCTAGTAATACCACTCCAGTGTTGGTGCTGATTAATTCACACCAGCATGATCCCTAGTATATTATAATCTTTTGTTGATGCTTATTTAATACCACTACCACTGGCTTCGTCCTTTTTCTCTGCCATAACAGTGATAAACATGTTGCAGTGATGTGTAGGTATGTGTGAATGACTCCCTTATTTCCACACAGTTGTTATTATATATATCTTTATTTCTACAAGTAGTGGAGATGTCATGTGTGAGGGCAATGTGTGGTGTGAATATAATGCAGAGAATTCGTAGTTTGGAAGTTAGGAGGAGGTGCAGGATTACCAAAACTGTTGTCCAGAGGGCTGAGGAAGAGTTGTTGAGGTGGTTCGGACATGTAGAGAGAATGGAGCGAAACAGAGTGACTTCAAGAGTGTATCAGTCTGTAGTGGAAGGAAGGCGGGGTAGGGGTCGGCCTAGGAAAGGTTGGAGGGAGGGGGTAAAGGAGGTTTTGTGTGCGAGGGGCTTGGACTTCCAGCAAGCATGCGTGAGCGTGTTTGATAGGAGTGAATGGAGAGAAATGGTTTTTAATACTGACGTGCTGTTGGAGTGTGAGCAAAGTAACATTTATGAAGGGGTTCAGGGAAACCGGCAGGCCGGACTTGAGTCCTGGAGATGGGAAGTACAGTGCCTGCTCTCTGAAGGAGGGGTGTTAATGTTGCAGTTTAAAAACTGTAGTGTAAAGCACCCTTCTGGCAAGACAGTGATGGAGTGAATGATGGTGAAAGTTTTTCTTTTTCGGGCCACCCTGCCTTGGTGGGAATCGGCCAGTGTGATAATAAAAAAAAAATTCTACACGTATATGTACAAGGTATACAGACCTAGCTGACATCAATGACATATACTACTATACAGAAAACCACTTGTTATGCAGAGCATTTTGGGCAAATTAGGTCAATTTTGTTCCAGGATGCGACCTGTGCCAGTCTACTAACACCCAGGTACTCATTTTACTAATAGGGAACATAGACAACCTGTGTAAAGAAACATGCCCAATGTTCCTACCCTTGCTGGGAGTCAAACTCGGACCCTTGCCATGTGAAACGAGTGTTTTAGCCACCAGGCCATGGTGGCTGGAACGGTGGCCTGGAACAAAAATGGAATAGAAATCTGGAATTGTTCTTATGCAAACCACCATGAGCAACATCCAAGTAGTTAACATATTGGATGAGGAATGCACATTATATTACTGTTTAATTAATGTGCAAAAATCATTCACCCAACTTTATCCTCTTGAAGACTGCAAGTTATCTAATGTACATAAGGGAAATTACCAGCAGACTCCTAGTTGTTAAGTTCCTGAAGTCACTTCTTGATCATCCAGGCTGTGGTGCATTTATTGAACTGTGTGGCTAGTACCAACAGCCTGGTGGGTCAGGCCATCAGCCAAGAAGCTTGAGCTGGATCTGGAGTGGTGACCCCCAGAATTGCATTGAGTCAATATAAGTTTGTTGAGTTTCAAGAGGCTTTCTACTCCTGGAGACCTGTTATGGGCCTGGCTCACCAGGATGAGAGATGACAGTAAGTACCTGAAAAACTTCTGGGAAGTAAAGTACTCCAAAGCCACAGGCATGTACCACAGAACTTGGCTTATTATGGAGCCTAGAAAGGAAGTACAGTGGTACCCTGAGTTTCGTACATAATTTGTTCGAGAAGGCTATTCAAGTGCCATTATACTAGATTTGATCTTCACAGAATTTAAAGAATTAGGTGCAATTAACTCTGATAACTTCCTCATTGAGGTGCAAACGAGCATGCAGTAAATTCATGTGTAGTTAATGTAAGAAATAGCCAGGGTGAGAGGGATATTAAAAAAATTTACTTTGATCAAAAAATAGACTAGGAGAGAATAAACAAAAATGTGTATACTGGGAAACCATCCTGAGTACTATCAAATAAAACCAGTGCATGGAAAACTGAATGCAGAAGTACACCAAGTATGTGTGAAAATGTCCCAAGAAATTTTTGGAGGTCACAAAGACTACTGAAGAGAAAGGTGGGTTGTTGAACTGTTGAAAAAAAAAAAAATGTATGTGTAAAAATTAATGTACGTACTGGTAAAGAGCAGACACTAAAGCATTTAATCCAGACCTCATCTTCTACTATTCATCTTTGTGCTGGATTGAGGAAGCTGCTTGTTGGCAAAATATTTCCACCATAAAAGTTCCCAAATGTTGTTGGTTTTTTAAACATCATAGAGTAGTATTGTACATGTACAATAGAGGACAGTATTCTAACTTTGAAAAATTTTTCTTAGCTTTAGTGGTGGAGATGAGGTGTGAAGTGCAGTGATTGATAGTGGTGACTCAGAATAACGAAAGCTTCTAAAGCAAGTGGTGGTGTCAAGAGGAAACATGTGAATATCTATGCTAAGTAGAAACTTGAACTAACAAGGAAAGTTGAGTCTGGTGTCTCAATTGCATAGTATGTGAGAAGTATGAAGAAGTTAACACCATATTCCTCAGATACCCATGCCACTGAGTTACCAGACTCAACCTTCCTTGTTAGTACAAGTCTACTTAACACAGATAAACAGGTTTCTTATTGGCACCATCAACCATTGTTAATTGCACTTTATTTATTATGTTAATTAAGTCACACACAGCACTAAATCTTGGGGAAAATTAGAGACTGAATGAAGAGTGTATGAATGAGTAAACAGGCAGTAAATTGATGTAGGCAGCCTATGGCTCATGGAATGATGAAAACACAAAAGTCCTAGACGAAGTTAAGCTGGCCCGTTTCAGACAAACGTTGATATCATCAAACTTGGTCTATTGACTCGGAAGAATACTAGATACTTGCCAAGGATAAAATCTGGAATATACTGACTTCTTCCATATTGTCAAATTATTCCAATATTTGATTGGTCAGTTTTTTTTTTTTCTGAAGTTTGCAAAATTAAATAAATAGGGGTCTGTTAATTAGAGGTTGTACTGTTTTTATAAAAAAAAAAAAATGCAAAATGCCATGAGAATGTGAACAGTTAATGCACCTTTGAGGAAAATCTTGAGTTCTGGTAAATCCCTGAGGACCAGAGAAAAAAGAAAAAAAAGAGGGACATAGTTCCTCTTCACATGAGAGGCAGTAAAGTGATGGCAAGAAAATTTAAGACCATCACCACCATTAACTTGAGCAGGTGTTTAAATATCAGTTTTCCCGATTTGTGAAGAAAACACAAGCTGCCTTGTAAAACCGCGCGATTCATTGGAAGGAGAACAAAATCCAGAACAACATTTGCAAAGGTATTTGAAAGCTGTAACCAGTTCCTGCAGAAAGTGCCATATCAGCCAGGTTGTGATGGCCTTCTTGCTATCAATAGCAACAATCTAGTTGATAACACAATCTACTAGAAACTTGGGCCTCAAGCCAGAGGGAAAAAAATAATGTACTGTACCTGTGTTTTGTAAATAGCAGTACTAGGTTTAATACGTAATTTAAACCACAGTTAAAGATTTTTAACTTTGCTGCACTGTTCAGATTTTTTTTTTTTTAACAAGTCAGCTGTCTCCCACCGAGGCAGGGTGACCCAAAAAGAAAGAAAATCCCCAAAAAGAAAATACTTTCATCATAATTTAATACTTTCACCTCACTCATATATAGTGGACCCCCGCATAACGATTACCTCCGAATGCGACCAATTATGTAAGTGTATTTATGTAAGTGCGTTTGTACGTGTATGTTTGGGGGTCTGAAATGGACTAATCTACTTCACAATATTCCTTATGGGAATAAATTCGGTCAGTACTGGCACCTGAACATACTTATGGAGTGAAAAAATATCGTTAACCGGGGGTCCACTGTATAATCACTGTTTTTGCAGAGGTGCTCAGAATACAACAGTTTAGAAGCATATACGTATAAAGATACACAACATATCCCTCCAAACTGCCAATATCCAAAACTCCTCCTTTAAAGTGCAGGCATTGTACTTCCCATTTCCAGGACTCAAGTCTGGCAATATAAAAATAACCGATTTCCCTGAATCCCTTCACTAAATATTACCCTGCTCACACTTCAACAGCTCGTCAGGTCCCAAATACCATTTGTCTCCATTCACTCCTGTCTAACACACTCATGCACGCTTGCTGGAAATCCAAGCCCCTCGCCCACAAAACCTCCTTTACGCCCTCCCTCCAACCTTTTCAAGGAAAACCCCTACAGATTTATACGCTCTCCATATCATTCTACTTTGATCCATTCTCTCTAAATGACCAAACCACCTCAACAACACCTCTTTAGCCCTCTGACTAATACTTTTATTAACTCCACACCTTCTCCTAATTTCCACACACTGAATTTTCTGCATAATATTTACACCACACATTGCCCTTAGACAAGACATCTCCACTGCCTCCAACCTCTCCTTGCTGCAGCATTTACAATCCAAGCTTCACACCCATAGAAGAATGTTGGTACCACTATACTTTCATACATTCCCTTCTATGCCTCCATAGATAACGTTTTTTGTCTCCACACATACCTCAGCGCACCACTCACCTTTTTTCCTTTATCAATTCTATGGTTTACCTCATCCTTCATAAATCCATCTGCTGACGTGTCAACTCCCAAATACCTGAAAACATTCACTTCTTCCATACTCCTCCTCTACAGTTTGATATCCAATTTTTCTTTATCTAAATCATTTGATACCCTCATCACCTTACTGTTTTCTGTGTTCACTTTCAACTTTCTACCTTTACACGCTCCCAAACTCATCCACTAACCTTAGCAATTTTTCTTTAGAATCTCCCATAAGCACAGTATTATCAGCAAAAAGTAACTGTGTCGATTCCCATTTTGTATTTTATTCCCCATAATTTAATCCTGCCCCTCCTAAACACCCTAGCATTTACTTCTTTTACAACCCCATCTATAAATAAATTAAACAACCATGGTGACATTACACATCCCTGTCTAAGACCTACTTTTACTGGGAAGTATTCTCCCTCTCTTCTACACACCCTAACCTGAGCCTCACTATCCTCATAAAAACTTTACGGCATTTAGTAACTTACTACCTGTTCCATATACAGTGGACCCCCGGTTAACGATATTTTTTCACTCCAGAAGTATGTTCAGGTGCCAGTACTGACCGAATTTGTTCCCATAAGGAATATTGTGAAGTAGATTAGTCCATTTCAGAGCCCCAAACATACACGTACAAACGCACTTACATAAATACACTTACATAATTGGTCGCATTTGGAGGTGATTGTTATGCGGGGGTCCACTGTACTTGCAACCTCTGCCACATTACTCCTCTATCCACTATATCATATGCCTTTTCTAAATCCATAAATGCAATGAAAACTTCTCGACCATTATCTAAGTACTGTTCACATATATGCTTCAATGTTAACACTTGATCTACACATCCCCTACCCACTCTAAAAACTCCTCACTCATCTGCAATCCTACATTCTGTCTTACCTCTAATTCTTTCAATAATAACCCTACCATACACTTTTCCTGGTATACTCAGTAAAGTAATTCCTCTATAATTTTTCTATTGTCCCCCCTTCCCTTTATATAAAGGAACTTTACATGCTCTTTGCCAGTCCCTAGGTACCTTCCCCTTTTTCATATATTTATTAAACAAAAATACCAACCACTCTAACACTATATCTTCCCCTGCTTTCAACATTTCTGTCATGATCCCGTCAGTTCCAGCTGCTTTACCCCCTTTCATTCTACATAATGCCTCACGCACCTCCCTCACACTCGAATCCTGCTCTTCTTCACTCCTAAAAGCTGTTATACCTCCCTGGCCAGTGCATGAAATTACCACCTCTCTTTCATCATCGACATTTAAAAGTTCCTCAAAATATTCCCGACATCTACCTAGTACCTCCATCTCCCCATCTACTAACTCTCCTAATGTTTTTAACTGACAGATCCATTCGTTCCCTAGGCTTTCTTAACTTGTTTAACTCATTCCAAAATTTTTTCTTATTTTCATCAAAATTTCTCAACACTGCCTCTCCCACTGTATCATCTGCTTTCCTTTTGCACTCATTCACCACTCTCTTCACCTTTCTTTTACTCTCCATATACTCTGCTCTTCTTGTAACACTTCTGCTTTGTAAAATCCTCTCATAAGCTACCTTTTTCTCTTTTATTACACCCTTTACTTCATCATTCCACCAGTTACTCCTCTTTCCTCCTGCACCCACCCTCCTATAGCCACAAACTTCTGCCCCACATTCTAATATTGCATTTTTTAAATTATTCCAACCCTCTTCAATGCCCCCACTACTCATACTTGCACTAGCCCACCTTTCTGCTAATAGTTGCTTATATCTTGCCCAAACTTCCTTCTCCTGTAGTTTATACACTTTCACCTTTTTCTTACTTGTTGTTGCCATTTTCCTCTTGTTCCATCTACCTCTTACTGTAACTGTAGCTAAAACTAAATAATGATCCGATATATCAGTTGCCCCTGTATAAACACGTACATCCTGGAGCCTACCCATCGACCTTTAATCCACCAATACGTAATCTAACAAACTACTTTCATTACGTGCTATATCATACCTTGTATATTTATTTATCCTCTTTTTCATAAAATCTTTCTTTCTTTCAACACACCGGCTGCATCCCACTGAGGCGGGGTGGCCAAAAAGGAAAGACGAAAGTTTCTCCCTTTACATTTAGTAATATATACAAGGGAAGGAGTTACTAGCCCCTTGCTCTCGGCATTTTAGTCACCTCTTACAACACGCATGGCCAACGGAGGAAGAATTCTGTTCCACTTCCCCATGGAGGTAAGAGGAAATAAACAAGAACAAGAACTGAAAAGAAAATAGAAGAAAACTTAGAGGGGTGTGTGTATATATATGCTTGTACATGTATGTGTAATGTGACCTAAGTGTAAGTAGAAGTAGCAAGACGTACCTGAAATCTTCCTTATGTATGAGACGGAAAAAAAGACACCAGCAATCCTACCATCGTGTAAAACAATTACAGGCTTCCGTTTTACAATCACTTGGCAGGACAGTAGCACCTCCTTGGGCGGTTGCTGTCTGCCAACCTACTACCTTTATTTTTCATATAATATGTATTACTTATTACCAAACCTCTTTCTACACATAGCTCAATTAAAGGCTCCCCATTTTCATTTACCCCTGGCATCCCAAATTTACCTACTACTCCCTCCACAACATTTTTACCCACTTTATCTTTGAAATCCCCAACCACAAGTACTCTCACACTTGGTTCAAAACTCCCCATGCATTCACTCAGCATTTCTCAAAATCTCTCTCCTCTACACTTCTCTCTTCTCCAGGTGCATATACACTTACTATAACCCACTTTTCACATCCAACCTTTATTTTACTTGCATGATTCTTGAATTAAAACACTTATAGTCCCTCTTTTCCTGCCATAGCTTATCCTTCAACATTATTGCTACTCCTTCTTTAGCTCTAATTATTCGAAACCCCTGACCTAATCCCATTTATTTCTCCCCACTGAAACTCTCCCACCCTCTTCAGCTTTTTCACTTAAAGCCAGAACGTCCAACTTCTTCTCATTCATAACATCCACAATCGTCTTTCTTATTCGCACAACATCCACACACATTCAAACATCCCACTTCGATAATTTTCTTCTTTTTCTTTTTAGTAGGCTGTACAGGAAAAGGGGTTACTAGCCCATTGTTCCTGGCATTTTAGTTGACTTTTACAACACGCGTGGCTTATGGAGGAAAGATTCTTATTCCACTTCCCCATGGATATAAAAGGAAAAATAATAAGAACAAGAACTATTATTATTATTATCACACTGGCCAATTCACACCAAGGCAGGGTGGCCCAAAAAAGAAAAACTTTCACCATCATTCTCTCCATCACTGTCTTGCCAGAAGGGTGCTTTACACTACAGTTTTTAAACTGCAACATTAACACCCCTCCTTCAGAGTGCAGGCACTGTACTTCCCATCTCCAGGACTCAAGTCCGGCCTGCCGGTTTCCCTGAACCCCTTCATAAATGTTACTTTGCTCACACTCCAACAGCACGTCAAGTATTAAAAACCATTTGTCTCCATTCACTCCTATCAAACACGCTCACGCATGCCTGCTGGAAGTCCAAGCCCCTCGCACACAAAACCTCCTTTACCCCCTCCCTCCAACCATTCCTAGACTGACCCCTACCCCGCCTTCCTTCCACTACAGACTGATACACTCTTGAAGTCACTCTGTTTCGCTCCATTCTCTCTACATGTCTGAACAAGAACTATTAAGCTAAAATCAAAGAAAACTCAGATGAGTGTATATAGATAAATGTGTACATGTATGTGTAGTGTGACCTAAGTGTAAGTAGAAGTAGCAAGACATAGCTGTAATCTTGCATGTTTATGAGACAGACAAAAGACACCAGCAATCCTACCATCATATAAAGCAATTACAAGCTCTCATTTTACACTTGCTTGGCAGGACGGTAGTACATCCCTGGGTGGTTGCTGTCTACCAACCTACTACTGTTTGGAAATCTTTCTTTCAACGCACCAGCCGTATCCCACCGAGGTGGGGTGGTCCAAAAAGAAAAACAGAAGTTTCTCGTTTTAAATTTAGTAATATATACAGGAGAAGGGGTTACTAGCCCCTTGCTCCTGGCATTTTAGTCGCCTCTTACAACACGCATAGCTTACGGAGGAAGAATTCTGTTCCACTTCCCCATGGAGATAAGAGGAAATAAACAAGAACAAGAACTAGAAAGAAAATAGAAGAAAACCCAGAGGAGTGTGTATATGTATGCTTGTACATGTATGTGTAGTGTGACCTAAGTGTAAGTAGAAGTAGCAAGATGTACGTGAAATCTTGCATGTGTACGAGACAAAAAAAAAAAAAGACACCAGCAATCCTACCATCATGTAAAACAATTACAGGTTTCCATTTTACACTCGCTTGGCAGGACGGTAGTACCTCCCTGGGCGGTTGCTGTCTACCAACCTACTACGTAGCTGTTCAGAATTTTTTTTTTTTTTTTTTTTTTTCTCAACAAGTCGGCCGTCTCCCACCGAGGCAGGGTGACCCAAAAAAGAAAGAAAATCCCCAAAAAGAAAATACTTTCATCATCATTCAACACTTTCACCACACTCGCACATTATCACTGTTTTTACAGAGGTGCTCAGAATACAACAGTCTAGAAGCATACACATATAAAGATACACAACATATCCCTCCAAACTGCCAATATCCCAAACCCCTCCTTTAAAGTGCAGGCATTGGAAATATATTCATTAAATTTGCTGCTGTCTTTGGTAATGTGATTTCTTGAAATTTCAGGGGGCAGAGCACCTTAAACCTGGCATTGTGCACCGGTTGGCCAATGCAGACCTGTACTGCTCTGCATTGGCCAATATCTATGGTGATCCCAACTTCCACAACCTGAGCCACTGGAACATCATACAGGCCCTGGCCAGGAAGGGGGTCTATGTTGCTGAACCTACAGATGTTGCTCTTACTGAGACTGTACTCATCCAGGTCTCTCCCATCAAAATGGTAAGTTCGTAGTGAACTAAACATGAGCACTGCTGAATCAATGTTCACAGGAGGGGGATTCTGTGTCTGGCAAGTGCGAGAGGCAGGAGCAACCAGCCGTAAAGCCATGTTGATAATGTGGACTTGGTGGCATCAGTTAATAGTGTTTTATGATTGCATTACTGCTATATTTTATTTGGATGCAGCTCTGTGGGGTTACTCCTGTGTCCAGTCTTATTTCCATAAGATGTTTTAGGCATGTTTAATCGTTAAGGTAAACACTGTATTTTATTTACAGTAAGCTGTGTAAATGTGCCTCATCTTTAGCTCACCCTTCATGTAAAAGGTTTAAAATAACAAATAGGATTATACTCCTATACATACTAATCTAAAATTACTATTTTAATGCTTATTTTAATTTTTTTTTCAGTCTGCTCACTTGGCTGTGATAGAAGCAATGATGGCATTGTACATTAGGGAAGTGGTTGTGGCCGATCGTGCAGTTGCTGTGTTGCAGCGCGTTGGGGGTGGAATGATGCCTGAACGCATTCCTCAAGACCAGGAGGAAGCTCTTGTTGTTTGGATCAGCCACGTCACACAGGCCTTGCAAGAACGAATACATCAACAGGTTCAGTCTCAGGTGAGTTCAAATTTATTTTAGTGGGCACCTCTTACATGAGAGTTAAAGCTCCAGAGAAGTTATAGGTTATTATAAATGTGAATTACATAAAACTTTTTTTAAGTTTTTCTCATTTTAGCCAGCATCAAGAACCATAGAAACTTCTAATTGTGAGAGACTGAAGAAGATAAAGTACTTTATCATGGTAGCTTTTTCATTGATCATTTTTCCTTGAATATCATAATAATCTTTATGGAATTATCAAACAGGTTATACAAATGCTTCAGCATCATGCAGCATGCCTTCAGTACTGTATTTATCGGACTTGTATGAACTGTTTAAGCTTATTTCTTTTATCTTAAGATCAATGGCCATCTCCTGCCAAGGCAGGGTGTCTCAAAACAGAAAACACACTTAAAATCATTCAGTCACAGTCTTCCCAGAAATATGCTGACATCACAGTCAGAGTACCTTCTGACTGCAACATTCCCACCCATCCTTCAGAGTGCACTGTACTTCCCACCTACAGGGCTCTAGTCCAGCTAATCAGTTGCACCTGAATACCTTCATAATAGTTACTTGGCTGACACTCCAACTTGTTCATTAAAAAAACCACTTGTCTGTTTACTTGTATTTAACATGCTGTCACAAACCTGCTGGATTTGAGGGGGTAAAAGAAGTTTTATATCTTATGCCTCCCTCCCTCCAGCCATTGAGACAGACACAGACACACACACACACACACACACACACACACACACACACACACACACACACACACACACACAGACACACACACACACACACACACACACACACAGACACACACACACACACACACACACACACACACACACACACACACACACACACACACACACACACACACACACACACACACACACACCTCTCACTCACTCACACACTCACACTCACACTCACACTCACTCTCTCTCACACTCACTCTCTCTCACACTCTCTCTCACACTCTCTCTCACACTCACTCTCTCACACTCACTCTCTCTCACACTCACTCTCTCTCACACTCACTCTCTCTCACACTCTCACCCACTCACACACTCTCTCTCACACACACACTCTTACACTTTCACTCATTCACACTGCACCTACCTCTTTTTCTCTGATATATACACCCTCCTTGTCAGCCTATGCCACCCCATCCCCTCTCATTCTTACGTTCTACTTCTGTGTTCCTTCATTCTCATATTTAGTACTTTACAATTAATGCTTATTATTTCCTAAGATAAAACAATGCACATAGTTGGGGGAATGTCTAGCATACAATTGTTGCTTTCATTGACCAATTAGTGTGTATTTAGTTTTTTACCACACCCTCCAGGACCAGGAATTGCCAGTTTTCCCTCGTATTCAAGACCTAAGTGACTTGAGTGATGGGATTGGTCTGGCTGCTCTCATATCCTTCTACTGTCCCCAAGAGCTTCCTTGGGGTGACATAGCAGTTGCTGATCCTCCATCTATTGCCGATTCCCTATATAATATTGGTCTTGTCATCAGGTTTTGCCAAGAGAGCCTTCCATATAACCCTTGTCTCCTTACAAAAGAAGATATTGTATATATGCACAGGTAGGAAAAATTTTTTTTTATATACATGTATATATATAAATATTGTATTTGTGTTTTAAAAATGTGCTTGTACTTACAAATACCGTGGAACTTCGGTTTTCGTGATTAATCTGTTCGAAAAAGTGTGACAAAAACCGAATCGTTCGAAAACTGGAGCAGTATTTCCCATAAGAAATAATGTAACTCCAATTAATCCATTCCAGACACCCAATAATATTAACAAAAAATACATTTTATAGAGAATAACTATAGTTTTACAAACAGTAATCAACGAGAAATAAATACAAATGACTAATAAAATGGATAAATGAACATTTAACATCACTTTTACCTTTATTAACCCTTAAACTGTCCAAACAGATCGACGTTCAAATCCGTCGTGCTCCAAAAGTAGATCTACGTTTTTTTACATATTTTCAAATACTATAAAAAGTAGATAAAAGTTTTTTTACATGTTTTCAAATGTTAAAAAAAAAATCTTTTTTTTTACACACTTTCAAATGTTAAAAAAACATAGATCTACATTTGGACAGTTTAAGGGTTAAAGACTTGTTGGCGTATGGGAAAACGGCGAGGAGGAGAGAGGGAGGAGGAGCTTATTGTTTGGAAGGGGAATCCTTGTCCATAAGGAATTCAGGTATCGAGGCTCTGTCCGGAATTACTTCTTTTCTTTGTTTTTTACTGGCACTAGGACCAGCTTGAGAGTCACTGGACCCCTGTTGCACAAAAAATCTGTCCAGAGAGGTCTGTTTCTGGCATCTCTTTAAGATTTGCCTAAAATGAGACAAGGCATTGTCATTGAACGTGTTGCAGACATGGCTTGCAACAGCTTTGTTAGGGTGATATTTCTCCACAAAACTTTGCAGCTCATTCCACTTTGCACGTTTGTGGCTGGCACTTGGAACTTTCTTTGGCCCCATGATGGCTTATTTAGCAGTCACACTTTATAAACAGGCACACAAAAAAAATGGATTATTACGAAATGTTTCGGATGAACGTGCGGGGTGATGCTCATTCAACGAGAAACAAAGACAGACTGAGTCACGAATTCATGGGATACTTTGTGTGGGCGCTCGATTCCGGGAAGTGAGTGACCGAGTCACGTGGGCAGGTGGACGAGTTTGATACGGACCATTTTCAACTGTATGAGAACTGAGTGGATGTGTGAAAACTGGGACAAAATTTTGACGAAAAAAGTGATCGAAAACTGAATCGTATGAAAACTAGGGTATACAAAAATTGAGGTTTGACTGTAGATATGTTTATTTTATGATTCATAAAAGGATGAAATATTAGCTTTGCTGAAATTTCTTTAATTTTATTTTTATTTGTGAATTTCTATTTTAAAATAAAGATTACTCTACATTAATTTGTCACTAATTTTTTATTTACTTTTTTTGTTTTGTAGTTCAGTGAAGCAGAATGTGCTGGCCTTTGCAGCAGAGCTGTTTTTTCTTCTAGAGCTGGAACCGGTGTCCTGTGTGTCACTACCAGGTACTAAGAAGACCTCTACTAAATTTATCCAGCTCTCTTCCCCAGGTTTGTTGTGGTTGGTAGCCTACCTCTGTAGCATTAATATTACTTACTTTCTTGATGGAAGACAGTGTAAATAATTTATGTGAAATGTTTTCTCTTAATTGTGTTGCTAGGTTCTGTTTTACAAAAGATGGAGACAGGCTTTAGCAGATTTCAGGCATGGTTGTTACCTCCATATTAGAATTACACACACATGTAGCAACAGTTTGCTAACAGCACAGATTGTAGGGGCAGGTATCACCAACATTGAGTTGGTGCTATTTGTCGCTGAGCACTGGTGAAACCTAATCCCTGCTCTTATTGTGGCTGTGATTGAATCTTTGTGTTATGCTAAACTTTGGCAGTCTTGTGTTCATGCTGAGGAATTAGCAAAATAGAATAACTCATGTTTTGTTTGTGAATGATTTTATACATGGGAAAATTTTTGTTCTACAGCAGAACTTCGGTATTCACTGAGGAATAAGTTTCTGAAGTTGCCACAAATGCTAAACCTGCAAATAAAATTTGGAGCTACCATGTTGTAAGGTTATTGTTTGAATAAATGTATGTAAATTATATACAAGTATAGTGTTTGATAATTTAATTAAGTTTATTATTCCCTTCCTTGTCAAGACTTCACTGGCTAGGAAGGAGATGATTGAAAGTTTAAAAGATGAGTAATAACTTCTCCTCACTTTTATGAATCAGTACTATACTTGTCTATTTCTTGCCTTCTCTTGCTCAGAACCTACAAATGAGGCACTACCGCTCATAGGAACATAACATGAACAGTGGCTTCAAAGTTGAAAGTGGTGAATACCCAATTTCTTCTGTATAGTATATTGAAAAATATTAGATATACTTTTAAGTTACAGATTTCATAACTTTTCTTATTAACTTTACTGCTCAAATTAACATTCTTCATTTTTGCTTTGAGCCTTCCAGCATCATTGACTATTTGCTTGCATATATTTGCTTGCTGGTCCCACACTGCTTCTTTTGCTGTAATGAAGGGGCATTGATAATATGATGTTTGTATTGAAATGCAGTAAGCTCAGTTATAAAGCTATTCTATATATTGCAATTGTTTGCAAATGCAATTGAAAAGTGTATCCAGAATTGAGTAGCACATACTATGAAAACCTTGTCACATGCCATTAAGTTTTGGATGCACTCTTTCAATCACACAAACAAAAAATTGCACTATGTAAAGGTGCATTATAAGAGCTTACCGTATTCTCATAATTGGTCTTCTACTTGGTATATTAATTTGTTTGTTGTAATGATTATCAGGATGCTAAAGTATTCATGAAGCATTATGTGCTAAAAATGTTATATAGTAACACTATTATTATTTTCATGGGGAAGCACTAAACTTGTAAAGGATCTTACAGCACCTGGAAAAGTGGGAGGAGTTAGGGTAATTAGATTTGATCCAAGGAAAGGGAGGGCAGTTTCAATTCCTTTGATCAAGAGCCCTTCACCAGCATCAAGGCACCCCCCTTGAAGAGACCTAGTCAGTATAACAAATTACAGTACCTTTAATGTCTGTCAGTCATGACAGTCTGGCTAATAAGATTTTGGTGTGTGGATGGTAAAAGCTGGGTTCATATGGTGTACTGCACAGGTGGTGGTGGGTGCAGCGGTTGGAGTGGGTACCAACGGAGCATGAAGGTCATCCCTGACCTCCGTGCGAGCCTCTCGCCCTCCTCGGCCCACTCCACCGCCTCCTATTCTTCTGCCCGATCTTCCTCCCATTCACAGCAACGGTCACCCTATTCCACGCTAAGAGGTATACTAACCCTTTAAGATAGACCCCACCTGCATGGTTCCTTATGTTTCCTTTTCCAGTAGATATATAGTTCTATCGCTAGCAATATAGGCATAATTTTATTGAATTGGGGACCAGTGAAAGTTCTCTCTGATCTAACTTAAGTCTTAATTCATTAGCATAAGAGGTATGAAGTAATGTGTACTCTCCAACACCTCCAAAACATGAGTACTTTATTTTTTCAGACATATTCCTTTCTTTGTGTCCTTGCATGCACTTGCCAATGCATATGCTTTCCTACATGCACTTAGATGCTTCCTCCCTTAACCTATCAGTTTTATGATTTTGCTCATAAATTTGCAATATTGCATTCAGTCTGCTGAGTTTAGGGTAAAATTTAGGTTGGTCATCTTTATATATTCATGACTTAAACAAATATTCTGGTTCAAAATTGCAATTAAATAAAAGTATTTCCAATAACTATTTCATACACACATTTTTAAACACCAGGTCTAGGTATGCCAGCATTGTACCACCAGTGTCACAGCCTCCCCACTGACCATCAACCACTTATGGGCTGGTGGATCTGAATGGATCATGACATCAGTGATGCTAGGCATGATTCCTATGTTCATTAGGTGTATTCTATGTTAATAGTTATTGATATTTTTTCTTTGAAGTAATATATTTTTCCATATTTACCCTTATGGAAATTGTAGAGGCTTATTAATCCGATGATATACATTGTTATTTTGTATGAATCGTATGAAAATTCTTAATAGATTTTACAATGTAATCACTGTACAACAGGCAGTAATCTTGCATGTACATTAAAGAGCAGAAATTCATTATTCTATGTATTGTATGTATGTATGCAAGGCAACTAGGAGGGGGGTGATGATGCTCAAGGTTTTTCATGTTGTAAAAGCAACACTGCTTCAGGAGCAATGCATTGAGGAAAATGAAATGCAAGTGAGGCCAAACTGGTGTGTTAAGAGACAAGATCCGGCCATTACAGGCAGAAACCAGCCACCCAAGGCCCCGCCAAGTGACGACTCTAAAGTGCCAGATGTCAGGGAAAGTATTTTAAAAAGATGTGGAAACAACAGATAAACCCATACACATTACAGACATGGTAGTTAATTGTAAAATATAACCTGTGAATAATCATCGTAGGGTTGCTGAATGTTTTTCCATTTTGATTAAAAGATCAATAGGTAATTCATTTATGGCACCATTCAAACCAACTACTACCATGTTCCTTTTTTTTATTATTATTCACATAAATTCTAAAGCTCATATATTGGCCATGATTAATTAGTAGTTGCTTATTCAATTAACAAATCATAAGAGCTCACCATGCTTTTTGATTAACGATCAGATGGCAGTCGTGCCAGAACTCATCTGTGATATTATCCCTATGTAATGGGAATTTTCCAGTGTAATTTTTTCTCATCATAACTGTTCTAAACACCACCCAATTTTATCAATAGCCTTGTTCAAAAATTAAAACCATATACACCTACCATCCAACTTACGACCGAGTTCGGTTCCGAGAAACCAGTCGTAAGTCGAAATGGTCATTAGTCGAACTTTACTACTGAATATCAACAAAACATTTTTGTAATGACTTTATTTTATTGTTTTATTTTGGTGTTTCATGTTTTACTTTACTTTTTATGTTGTTAGTACTGTATTTTATACTGTAAGGTTTAGGATAAACACTGTGTACAATACAAATAGTTGTTTATTTCCCAGAAATTTGACATAAAAAACACGGTCGTAAGTCGAGCAGGTTGTAAGTCGGATGGTAGGTGTACCATATTTTGCGACTTATAAGACTTATTTAAGCTTCAATAGCTCGGCATCAGACATAACTGGGAGAGCTACAGCCCACCCCCAAACTTATAGCTCCCATCACTGACCTTCAGTTTATAGGATGCAGGGTGGTTTTTGGAGACGTTTTATGGAAAAAATGTATCTAATCCATGAAATACTGTAAGTTAAGCATAATGGATAAAAATAGAGTATGCGACCATCCCAGAGAATGGAGCCTTTATACAGAAACGAGGCTTTGTTTGGGTGGACTAAAAACATGTTGGGACACCTATACAGCCGTACTTACACAAAATGAGTCCGCCTGTCGTGTATGTTTATTAAACTTCGTAAATAATTGCAATTGGAATTACACTTAGAAATTCACAACAAAAAGCAGAGACCAAAGACAAGGAACCAGTGAACAGGCCCACAGCAAGGGCACAAGGGCTCTAACGCCAACATTTAACACCATAGCCGACAACTACAACACAAACCTGCTCTCCAAGCTGTGAGAGACAAATGGTCTAACACAATAGTCATTCCAAACCAGACAAGAGTAAATTTGAAGTAAGTATCATATGTTGGCAAGTAGATATCCCAATGTTCATACTTAATCATGACATTAAAGGCAGTTGGAAACATTTGTGAAATTACTAGGTTTAAGATTATGTACAGTGGCCTCAATTAAGAATGAATCAAGCTTGTACAAGCCAAGGCTATTATTATATAATGAGTGGTGTTTTATATATATACAGTGGACCCCCGACTTACGATACTAATCCGTTCCTGAGAGCACATTGTAAGACGAAATTATCATGTCAAATTAATTTTCCCCATAAGAAATAATGGAAATCAAATTAATCTGTTCAAGACACCCAAAAGTATGAAAAAAAAAATGTACCACATGAAATATACATTTTCCTACACACAAAAAGGAGGATACATGCACAATATATATTGTGCATGTACTAGTGTACTAAATGAAGAATAAATGACACTTACCTTTATTGAAGATGTAGTGATGAGTGATGAGACACTGTGTCCTGGGAGTGCCTTTTCCTCCCAAGTAATGTAGGTCCTGTTTGGCATTTTCTTCCAGAACAGGCCTTATCGCACTGTGTATGTCACTACGATTCTTAAATCTCTCAAACCAACCTTTGCTTGCCTTCAATTCACCAATATGAGCACTAGTTCCAGGCATTTTTTCCTGTTCACCTGGGTGTTAGTCGACTGGTGTGGGTCGCATCCTGGGGGACAAGATTAAGGACCCCAATGGAAATAAGTTAGACAGTCCTCGATGACACCCTGACTTTCTTGGGTTATCCTGGGTGGCTAACCCTCTGGGGTTAATTGTTTCTCAGTATTCCTGATAAGCCACACCAATAACAGTCTCTCCACATCTTTGAGTAGTGCAGCTGAACGTGGTGCAGCAGCAGCCGACCGTGGAGCAGCAGCAGCCGACCGTGGAGCAGCAGCAGCTGACAGCGCTACAACAGCAGCTGACAGTGCTACAACAGCAGCAGCTGACCATGGTACAGCAGCAGCAGCTGATCATGGTATCATAGTATTTCAATAGTATTTCGCACCCTTTTTACCATAGGGTTGGCACTAGAAGCTTTCTTTGGGCCCATGGTGGCTTATTTAGCAGTTACAAGCACTAAAAACACTGGAATAATACAAAATTTATCGAATATATGCGTGAACCGTACAGGACGAATGATGTAAGTAAAGTTTTTCAACATACATCGGGGTCAAATTTTTATGCTGACAAGCATCGTAAATTGATTTTAACCCTTTCAGGGTTTCTGATGTACTAGTACGGCTTGAGCACCAGGGTTATTGACGTACTAGTGCACCTAAATTCTAGCGCCTTCAAATCTAGCAAAAAAAAAGCTGGTAGGCCTACATATGAAAGAATGGGTCTGTGTGGTCAGTGTACACAGTATAAAAAAAATCCTGCAGCACACAGTGTGTAATGAGAAAAAAAAAATTGACCGTGTTTTTGGTTTAAAACAGCGACTTTGCACTGTATTTTCATATGGTATATATGGTTGTATTCTAGTTTTCCTGGTCTTATTTTATAGAGTGGAAGACATATTACAGAAATTGAGATGATTTTGATTGGTTTCACAATGAAAAGCACCTTGAAATTGAGCTCAAAATAGGAGAAATGTTCGATTTTTGCCAAAGTTCAAAAGTAAACAAATCGTGCCTTGCGTTGAATACGCGTCAACTGGTGAGTCTAATATTCTTTCATAAGTGCGCTGATATTATTTATACCATTTCTACACTAATGCAGTAGTCTGCATAACAGCAAATCTTCTATTTCTTGTGAGAATAAAAATTGAAAGTGGAAAGCAAAAGAAATGTAACAGGGGCCTGGGGATGTGACTATTGAACAGAGGAAATGTTATTTTAGGGCCAGGAATGTCTGTCTTGTTTATTCTGGACCCTATTTGGAAATCGGCATCTTTTGAAATTTGTGTGAAATTGGCAAAATTTCTAATTTCTGACCACTTTATTGGATAGTCGAAATTGGTAAATGGGTGGCTTCTTGTACTCATTTGATAGAAAAAATGGAGTTCTACCGAAATAGTTATGACTTTTGTCGACTAGTCCACTGGAATTGGCCGAAAATAGGGCTCAAAGTGGGCGAAATCACTTGTGTAAACATTGTCGAGACTGCTAACTTCGCGAGAGCATAATTCCGTAAGTTTTCCATCAAATTTCGTGCTTTTGGTGTCGTTGTGATCAGGAAAAGATTCTCTATCTTTTCATAAGATTTCCCCCCCCCCCACCCACCCACAAAAAAAAAAATTGACCCTGAGAACATTTTTAGGAGAGGGCCTCTCAACCCTGAAAGGGTTATCGTAGGTCGAGGGCATCGTAAGTCAGGGGTCCACTGTATATATGTTTAATTGATTAATTGCTGCTTCTAAGATGTTTCTTTCCACCACTGATGAACTAGGACCTATAGTTCAGGCTTCAGACTACCTAGCAGGGTTATTGCAAATTCGTGTGTGATTAAATGTGGTGTTTGATTCTTGCATTGTCTGGCTCAAGTATTGGTGGTTCTAACCTAAATTCAAGAGGTTTACTTTTTGCCCAACATAAAATAAAGGACAACATCTGCAGGTCACCCTGCCTCGGTGGGAGACTGCCTACATGTTGGAAAAAAAAATCTACAAGGCAGTCTGTACACA